AGGAGGCCTAGTCTGTGTGATCTTATAGGTCTCTGGGAGGGAAATGGCAGGAGACGGTCTCTCAGGTAGCCAGGTCCTAAAGTAGAAAAGATTTTAAGATAGAGGTATAAACAAGATGTAACTTAGTATTATGATGAGGAAGATAATTATGCTTAATGTTATTATTGTATTTTTATTAGAAGATATGTTAAGAGGAAAATGAATAGGTTAATAATGTTCAATTGTTTAATATACTACAATTTTAAGTTTAGAGAATATTAATATGAATGATGTTGTAAATGCTGAAAGCTATTGCACAGATGTTTGTATCCAGATGACACACTGTTTAAGGAAAGATGAAATGTTTATATTTGAAAAACAAAAACAAATATATGTGTGTGTGTGTGTGTGTGTGTGTGTGTGTTGCATTTGTGCTGATAAATAAAGGGAGACTAGTATAGATCTATTTCAAGCTATTTAGCTCTCATTAGCTAGCCATACCCTTACTGGGATTCAAACCTGGGCTGCTTTTACATGTTAGGCAGTTGTATTAGCCTCTAAGTCACAAGCCCTCCTCTCTTATCAGCTGAGCCAAGGAAATAACTAAGTGTTATGTCAAAGCACCTGGTATGCCCAAATATGGGAGGGAGCAGTATATATATGATTGAAATATCCCACTTCATCTTTATTTTTGCTTCCTGTTATTCTCCTCCTAACTGTTTACCCCTGCCTGAAATTCTACATACTACCCATATCGAGTGTAGTTTGCTAAGTTGGCAAGATGTCTTCAGTCCTGATGAGTGTGTGAGACAAGCTAGAGGACAATTTTGGAACAGAACAGGTCTCTGAAATACGACTGCTTTGAGGAAGAAAAAAAAGGGGGTTGTAACAGGGATATCATGAGGTAATGGTTAAAGCAGTGGTTCCCAAACTTGGCAACTTTAAGACTTGTGGACTTCAACTCCCAGAATTCTCCAGCTCTGCTGGCTGGAGAATTCTAGGAGTTGAAGTCCACAAGTCTTAAAGTTGCCAAGTTTGGGAACCACTGGGTTAAAGGGTTAGATGACACTAACCAAGCAGGAATGTTATGAGCAAAATGAATAGGGTCTGGGTGAAGTAACCAAGAGTGAAATAAAGAAAAAGTTCCTGTTGTTCTATATTTCCATAAGAATTCAAAAGCTCAAAGAAGACTTTGCATTTAACCTGTGTGGAGGTTAAATTGGAGGAGAGATACATGTTTAATTAATGAAATGTTCAATCAGAATAAATTACTGATTCCAGAATACTTGTTTGCTTTATGAAAGAATGGGAAGAGAAGATCATGGCTGGAGCATACATGGAGTTTATTTGCAAGATATAAATTTACACGCTACATATTGGTATATCATAATTACTTAAATATTAAGGCCAGATGTTCTAGATAGATACTTACCATTAGCTAAAAGATGAATCTGTTCATTTTATGAATAATTTGTTGTGATTAGATATTATGCATCATTTATTGATGTATTTCTTCTTAAAGGAATAGTTTACCAATGAAATTTGCTGTGTTATAGTAATGTGCTACTGCCCTCATGTGGTTTAAAAAAAGGAAATGTACTATCAAGAGAACACAATAGCAATAGTCCTTGTCAGCTGAGAGTAACAGAAACACAGTGCGCATTCTCCTTTATAGTTGAAATTTATTCTCCAATTGTGGAAAAATTACGATTGTGCAAAAAATAAGGAACTCTGCACCTTGTAAAAATTCTACAGGCAATAAAAAGCAGCAGATTTCAATGATACCCATTATAATAATTGCAAAGTTTACTCTGAATAAATCCACTGGCAATAAACAAAGCAATAGATTACTTTAATAATAGGTGTACTGCACTTTGCAGGAAAAAAGAATTAGGTACCTATTAAATTAAATGCTTTATTAATGTCAGAGAAAAAGAACATGCCCTAGCATGTCTCTGTTAAGAACTGTATGAAAAAGAAAACAACTCTCTTTAAAAAAAAATAACAAAGAAATTAAGCTGCACAGGCTTTGAAATGGGATTACCCCTCACCCAAAGTAATATTTGATCCAGCTTTCCTAGAGCTTATGATCCAAGACTGCTTTGAGCAAGTTATGAAATAGCTTATTTTGGACTTACCTTTTAGCAGAGCCACTGCTAGTAACAAATTTATAGCGCCAGAGATTTATTTGGCCAACAAGAACATTTCCAGTCCAGTTGAAAGTACTGCAAGTTATTTCTTTAAAATGTTGCCAAGAAAACTGCAGGGAGCAGTCCAGGCATTCTCCACACACACACACTTTACAGGCTGAAATCAACATCCCTTTGTCGTATATTTACATAAATATATAAGAAGCATTTGTAGTGACATTTGGTTGGAGACATAGTGAACAATTTATGCTGTATTTTGGCTGTGAATTTTACTTGGAGTGTATGCTGGATGGATAGCATGCTGTTGTGAAATATGCAACTAAAATTTTAGATACCAACGACCAACATATTTGCTTTTGACAATGAATGGAGAAGATGATTTGAAGTTTTACACAAACGGCAAAACATAGCGCTAGCGGATGAAATTGAATGTTTAGCAGAAAGCTTAAAGATGTTAAAGAGGAGACTGGGGACAAAGAAATTTTATGATGGGAAAACGCTAGGAGAAAGATTGTAGGTAGCCTGGGGCCTGATATGAGTATGAAAACGTTTACTGAAAGAAAGAACAACCGTGAATAAGAGCTTGCTTCTCCCCACGTTGTTATCTGGAAGGGAGTGCTGGATGTTTCTGGAGAAAACTAAAAATAATTTGAATAAAGTGGGAATGAGTTATTGAAAAAGAGTATGTGGTAGCACACAGAGGGAGTCAAGAATTCATATGTGATGGAGGAATGTATAGTAAATAGAGAAGGGTGATGTGTACAAAAGATGGACTTTAGTAATTTAGTTTTATATATAGAGAGAAAATGAACAAGGATCAAATTAGACAAATACATGAAGGAAAAGTGCACTGAGAGGAAGAGGAACGCCAAGATAATAGTGTTTGGATGGAGTTCCTGAGATCCTCAAACAATCCAAAGTGAAAAACTTGAAGAATGAAGGCCTTCCCATTTTAATAACCTCCAGATGTCAGGACAAGACATTAATATCATCTTCAGCCTAGTTTGGGATAGCAATGTAAAGTTGGGTATCAATAGCATATTGATACTGACGTTACTTTATTTTAAACTAATGTATGTCCTCTCCCAACTTCATCTAAAAGTTAAGGAGAGGGGAGAATTATAGGCACCAAACTGGCCTTCCCTCGTCTCTAAATAACAATAAGGGGAAAAGGGAGAAAAACTGCTTTATTTCCAATAAATTTAATGAACCTTACAGTATGTGCAAGAATAATTTGCAAATCTTTAAGCGAAAGACAGAAATAAAACGGTAAAAAGAGGAATTGCAGGATAATTGCAGTATAGCATTATACAATGAAACTGTCCTTAGAAACAATTATCTGTTTTCCGTGCAGTTGGATAGCATTATGCTATGTGCGTGCATGCACACTCATTTGTATTTCTCACAATCACCGTAGCACACAGCTACCCAGCTGAGTGATCATCCTTACTTTCATTAGCCAACATTTTATGTCCTCTGGCACAGATGTTTGCTCATCCCTCTCATAACGCTTATTATGCCATGACATTAACCTGTTCTTAAAACTGCATTAATTTTATTCAAGACTGTAATTTAGGAACTGCTCAGTGCTTCTGTGAATGGCAAAGCAGAGATGTATTTTCCAACAAATTCCCGAAAGGAGCAGCCAATTAACACTCCTGTCTGAAGTTGAACTTGCAAGGTTCAATTGGGAGAAAATGTGTATGAACTGAGCAACATTTTTACCATTTTACAGAAATGTAATTTTTATAAGCAGGAAAAGTTCAAGCTTCATATTTGTGCTACTTGCTCACAGGTTCGTCCCTGCTAGTTAGAAAATATTGGGGGGAACTATTATTTTATATCCAACATAGCAATGTGTTCACACGGTTTGCTTTTCTTAAGGGCAAACAAATGACCAGAACAACTGCTTTCCTTAGCAATGGAAATACTGATCCCAATTGTGGTCCAATGTTGAGGACTACCTGTATGCCATGGTCTGTATACAGTCTCTCTACCATGTTCATTAGATACACGAAAGTATTAGGCTGATATTTTCAGCTCAAGGAAAATGCACCCTAGCCTCTCTCAGAGAGGGGAGTAGGGGGCAGGAGGGCTTCACCCTCTGAATCCAGAAATAATATAATCAAAAGAGAAAAATGAGCCTTATGTATCAATTGGCTAAAAGGAGAAAAACCTAAAAGAAAAAAAAACAGCACTTGCAGCGAGCTTTGGTTTGGTGACCCCATGCCCAGAGGAGGGGCAGCAAACATACTATTCCAGTTGCTATTCCAGAGTAACTTAAAATTGCAGACTATTAATCAAATTCTCTTATCTTTATTAATTGCCAAGGGATGGTGAGCTTCCAGAAAGTTCACGATGCCATACAGTATGGAGAAATAATATTTTTTGGAAAACAATATAGAGAACAATCTGTCTCTAGAGAAATCTGCTAGTGGTTCCATCTTCTTGCATTCCTTGATTTATTACTTAATACAAAACCATGCTATTAAGTACCAGTTGAAAAAGCTGCCATGATTGTCCACTACAAGCCAAAGGGCAGCATAAAAATTAAGCATATACCAGTAAAATAAGTATGCAACATTTTCTAAATAAAAGTAGCTTTCTTTAACTGTAGGTCGTGTGAACTTAGAAGTGCTGCTTCTGTGTCTTGTTATTAACATTTACCTTTTCTGGAGTAAATGGAGATTCTCAGTCATCCAGGTCATGGTTGTCCCAAAGGTGCTTTTTCAAGAGGCAACTGGACTTCCTGGTTTTTCTTTGAAGACGTTTTGCTTCTCATGCAAGAAGCAAAGTGTCTTAAAAGAAAAACCAGAAAGTCCAGTTGCCTCTTGAAAAAGCGCACCTTTGGGACATTTATCTTGCCTGTTTTCTTTTTGCATTTATGGTAAGTTTAGGTGAATCACACTGCATATATCTACATTTGAAATAGGCCTAAAAGGATCCCCCCACCCTCTCATATCCAGACAGGAATCATGTTTAAAAAGTATAATCACACTTGTCCCCCTAAAATGACCAGCTTCAATTGCAAATTTCAGTAATTATGTCAACCAGTGTTAAATTCCTCTAGGGTTGACAATATTCCCAAGTAATAGTGTGTTTAAACTTTAAAATAAGCAGTCATTAAGTATATATTCATTCAATATTAGGAGTTCAGGAGACCCTATTGTGCAATTTGTATATTTTTTCCAACTTGGAATAGATTTTTTTTTTTTGTAACTTAGGAAACATGGTTTTCAGCATTATTATTTAATAGCACACTTTATTTTTTAATTCAAACTGCTGGTTATAACTATGAGTTGCATTGATTTCTCTTCAAATACGGTGCTTGAGTTAGCTGACCTGTTAGGGTTATGTATTTTTCCCTGAAGAGATCTGCACTAAAAATTGTTACATATAAAGTCCTCTAAAACAAATTAATTGTATTTCAACAAGCAGCTAAGTGTTTTGTTTTTTTTAAAGGTTCAGCATGTTCAGGAACCCCCGAATTTACTTTTCTATGCAGTTTAGGTTTCTCTGTTGGCTTATGGTTTCTCATTTGAAACATTGGTGCTTTACCAGACATACCTGGTTTGAGATAGAAGCCAGAAACCAGAATGCAGGAAGAGAAGTCAGTGCTCTCCCAGGGCCTGTTGGTCAAAGGAGGATGCTACAGAGGGAAACTCTGGGCATCTCCTGTAACCTTTGGAGAACCCTCTGTGAAATGAGACGGTAAAGGGGGTAGCCCTCAACTTGCAACCATTCATTTAATGGCTGTTCAAAGTTACAATGTCATTGAAAAAAGTACTTACAACATTGCAGCATCCCCATGATCAAAATTCAGGGGCTTGGCAACTGGCATGAGTTTATGACAGTTGCAGCATACCAGGGGTCGTGTGATCACAATTTGCAGCCTTCCCAGCTGGCTTCAGACAAGCGAAGTTGGGGGGGGAGGGGAGCAGGATCTGCTTATGGATCATGCGATTCAATTAACAACTGCAGCGATTAACTACCATGGCAGAGGGTCATAAAATCAAGTGCAACTCACTTAACAGCCACCATGATTAATCAGCAACAGAAATTCTGATCCCAATTGTGATCATAAGTAGAGGACTACCCCTATCAGTACAACTAGCTATCCTGATTGTAGGAGCAAACAGACAGAGTAGATTGGGGGCTGCAGAGAAAAAAGTTTTACACCTCTTTGCATGCAATGCTTCCATTCCAGGTACAAATGTGCAGTGAAATGACCCTACAACTCAGCAACTCTGAGGTGTGAAACACAAATACACAATGCTAGAATGAAAATGCCACAAGTTTAAAATTGGTATAGTAAGTCAGATTAATTAAACATTAATAACAGCATTAATTTAAATCAGAAACAAGTGTAATGACCAGGTATTTACATGCATTGTACACATACCCCAAAGTAAACTAAAGTCAAAAGTGTCCAATTGATTGAAATTTAATGTTCATGATACACTTAATTGGGTTCCAGAGACTGCAGCTGAAAGCAAAATTTAGGCTCTCCTGGGCAAATGAATTAATAAATGAGCAGAACCTGATACATGTCACATCTTTTTGCAAATCTGCATGCATACTTTCTACTTAAGTGTAATTTATGCATGCAATAATACAAAACCCACCAGTGAATATGGGAGTTATCAACATACTAAAAGTAATAGAATCATGGCAAATTGCTGGCTAGAAAAGGATAGTATTAGCCTAATGGGATCAGAGGTGTAGAAATGTTTGTTTTTTAGGTAGTATTTCTGCAGGAAAAACTTCCGAGATGCGAGAATGGACTTCTAAACAGACCCCTTTATATTTTTGAGCTCTAAACACTCCTATGACCTTATATTGACTGCAATAATATGTTCTCACCTCAAACTTCTGCCTCATTTCTGAATTTCCTTCATCATCAGCTTCTGGTATTGGCACATTATAATACTCGCCTTCTTCCTGGTTAAGTAATTTATACCTGAACAATATGAAGGAAACAATTTGAGATTTATAAAAAAGATTGTTTTATGCTTTTTTGTTCTTACTATTTGAATGCAGGTCATTTTTTTCCAGACGAAAAGACCAGAAATAGGAAGTTGTGTGCACCCTCCTAGTATTCTAAATTTAAAAGGGTTGTGAAAATATCTACCCCTCACATCCTGGATATAAATTGTTTCAATTTCTACCCTCAAAATGATGCTACAGGGCACTGCACACCAGAACAACTAGACACATTTCCCCTGAATGCCATCACTCTGCTAAACAACTAATCCCCACAACAATGTCAAATTATCTACTAAGACTGTATTTCTTTATTCTTATCATCCTTCCCAGTACCTATCTCTTTCCTAGTACCTATCTCTTTCCACTTATGACTATAAGCATGTTGCTTGTATCTTTAAGATTTAGATTGTTTTATTTGTTTCCTAATATAATTTGATTGCTTATTAGTAATCTAGGATTATCACTTTGTATCTTATGATTCTTGATGAATGTATTCTATTTTATTTTTCTTATGTACACTGAGAGCATATGCACCAAAGACAACTTCCTTGTGTGTCCAATCATACTTGGCCAATAAAGAATTCTGTTCTGTTCCGTTCCGTTGTACTCTACTCTTTTCTATTTACTGAGGCCAAACAGGCTCTCCTTCATAAATGATGGTAAATAATTTTAAAGGGTGCAGCATTTGCCTACAGTAAAAAATTAGCATGCAGGATGCTAAGTAGGCAGTTAATTTGAAGGGATTTTCATCCCTTCCGGAGAAACCAGAGAGAGGGGTTGCATTATTGCCTTGGATTCTTCTATCCTTTGGGGAACCAACTGAAAAAAAAATGCTGTTTCTACATCAAAGCAAGTTACTCACTGAAGTATGTTTTATTTGAAAATTCAGCAACTTTTTCTGCTTTCCAACTCCTATAACCTAATAATTACACATTCTGTAACTATCTAATTGACACAGTGAGAAAGCATTTCATCAACTGAATATAATATATGGTTCATACATTAATGATGGATCGGTGAAAGACTCTGGGGTTACAAAGATGTCTTACCATCCACAAGCTGGCGACTTCTTCAATTCTGACACCCCAAAAGAGAGAGATCCCATGAAATCATTCCTAGTGGTTCGATCCCAGTCCCAGACTTCCACTGATAACCTTCTGTCTTTGTCTGTGGGCTTTAATTTACTATGAACAGAAAAGCAATTTAACATATTTAGGCATTCTACAGAAAAACGTCATTGAAATATGATTAAGCAAAGTATTTGCATGCCGCTTACAATGCGAAGGACTCGTTCCAGTGTGGATTGAGCGTCGAGCGGATAGTTTTCGTTTTCTGTTTACTTTCGTTCTTAGGATCTGGAATAAGCTTCAGTTTAACATAGGGGTCTGAGAGTCCATTGGGATCCATAGGGATTAGATTTCTTGCATCCCTCACTGCAAACATACAAAATAACTATTAATAAATTACAAAGATTATAAAAAATAAGCCAGCTGGGTGACCTTGGACCAGTCCCTCTCTCTCCGCTCAACCCACCTCATGTTGCAAGGATAATAGGAAGAGGGAGGGGTATTAGGTATGTTTGCAGCATCAGATTTTTTTGTAAAAAGAATAAGGGTGGGTTCTTCTACTGTAATACAATCAACACAACGTTGAGCCATATTTTCACATTAAATGTTAAAAACATCAGCAAGATGTTATTAGAGATATATCATTCATTTGAGAAAAAGTTTCTGTTCCCAAAACACCTTGTGGTCCAAATAACATAGCAGACACCTTTTCAGAGAGCTATTGATGCTAGTAGTAACAAAGTCCAAAAGCTTTCATAGATATAAAATACGATGGCTCAGCTGTTAAACAGTGAACCATTTCCCACACTTATGACAGTTGGAGCATGCCCAGGGTCATGTGATCAAAATTTGGGTGGTTGGCAACCAGTATGTATTTATGACAATTGCACTGTCCCAGGGTCATATGATCACCATTTGCAAGCTTCTCAACCGGCTTCTAACCAGCAAAGTCAATGGGGGAAGCCAGATTTGCTTAACAACCGTATGTTTCACTTAACTGCAGTGATTCACTTAACAACTATGGGGAAAGAATCATTAAATGAGGCAAAACTCACTTAATGAATGTCTCACTTAGCAACAGAAATTTTGGGCTCAGTGATTGTCCTAAGTCGAGGATCAGTATAAATAGGGATTCTAATTTTGCCCCCATTATGCCTGGCTTTTTATTCCTGAGTGGATCCATCTGTTTTCGGTACAGAACATTCAACTTACATTTGCTCAAAAGAGAACACAATCCTACTGATGGCTTATCAGCATTCTAATTAAGCTGAAAAAAGTGGGCAATACGCTAAACAAACAAACAAACACAAATCTCATTGAAATTTGACCATTTTGCCAGAACAAGCTGATGGCCTGATCTTGGGCTTCTGGGAAGGCAAAATATGAGGGTTATCTACCCATCCTTGCTGTAGAATTAGAATTGTCAAAATCCTTTAATCAAAGCAGACTTCCAAACTAGTCTGGGAAGCACAGGAACCAGGAGGTTCTCTGAATTCTGTCTTGATTTTAATAATCTTTTGGGTCCAACCAAAACAAAGAATAAACTGGCTTTTTTCAGGCACAGAGATTGGTTGGGGAAGTTTTATTTGCTGAAGATAGCACTCTATTTTTTTTCAAATTTAAAAGCGAGAGTAATTTTTTTTTTTAAGCACTCTTCACACATGCGAGAGCTTCCTGTGGCAAAAGTGTGTTCGATCTAGTCAAGGCTTTTCTGGGAGAAGGTGAGGTGTCAGCTTTGCCATCTTTGGCTCTCATGCCTCGCTGGCATCCTGCCCAGGGGTGGGCTGCTGCGGGTTTGCAGGTGTTCAGGAGAACCTCTAGCTAAGATTCTGTGCAGGTTGGAGAACCCTCAAATCCCACTCCTGGCTGGCCCCACCCCTCCCAGAATCCCCACACTGCCCATTTTGGATGCAGGTAAGTGCAGGGCGTGCATGGAGGCTCAGAGAGGCCGAAAAATGGGCCTACTGGAAGTCTGGGAAAGCCGGAAATGGCTCCGTTTCCAGCCACTGGAGGGCCTCCAGAGCCTGGGGAGGCCATTTTTGCCCTCCTGGAGGCTCAAAGAAATGGCCATGCCCACCCAGCAACCGGGCAGAGAACCCCTTGCTAAATTTTTTGAAGCCCACCCCTCATTCTGCCATCACCTTCAGGGGGGAGGGGAAGAGCAAGTGGGAAATAAACATGTATGGGGCAGAGGTGGGAGGGAATGAGATGACAGCTTGACAGACACCAGGGATGCAAGAAACCAGCCTGTGTCAGTCTTCAAGGCTATGAAGTTTGAGAAATGGAATGTGGATTGTTCCCAACATCCCGAGAGGTTCTCAAAACATCCATATGACATGACATTGACTGAAGACAGACTGGTCAAGGAGGGAGAGCTGAGATAAAGGGGAAAAGTTTGTAACCTTTTGCATGAGAACCTTAGTTCTAGCCTGATTTTACTGCAGCCAGCAACCTTTAATAAAAGAACCCATCACTTCAACCCAATGGAGTCGAGGGTCTTTCTTTCCTAAGGGGGCAGGTCTGTCAGTAGGAACATTTTACTTTCTCCTGCAGTCTCCACAATTTTGAGTTATTCCATGGATTGCTTAAAACCCGGGTGCAGAATGGGAAGCAGCATCAACCTTTCCTCTTCCAATAAAGTTATCCTCTCTCCCATCTGCATTTAACCACTGAGCCAAGGTGGCGCAGTGGTTAAATGCAGA